TGAAAAAGAAACGGTACAGTATCATCCAAACTTAATTCTAATGATTAAGGACTGTTCTTTCGGAAAGCTCAAACAGGCATTTCCACACTGCTATAGAGCTTTGTAGCCTCCATTTCCAGGTACATAGAATCAGAAAACGATCCTGTAAACGACCCTGTCGTTCTGTTTTTAAATGGTGGACCAGGATGTTCATCACTTCAAGGACTTTTTCTGGAAATGGGACCACTCAGGTTCGACAATTCGACATCCGTTCGCTCAGCATTATCCGTGTGGGTAACTTAGCAGTCGATTCAGGGTCAACAACTACGGCGAAACTGTCACCAGAAATCCGTGGACCTGGAATCGGGTGAGTCATGACAGACCAACGGTTGACCTACCCGAAGGCACCAACTTATAGCTCGATAATCAACCAATAGGGAGGGTCATAGGTTACATCGGAGGCCCGCCATTGGCCAATTAGCACAATTGGCACTGCCGTTATTTTTGAGCGATTGAGAGTGGGGCGAAAATTTCCTCAAAACGCTTATTTCAGTATGCAAACATTATTTATTTGGACTCACCGGCTGGTGTTGGCTTCTCAGTCCGTCTTGATGGTCTATGGAATTACACTGACAGCGAGGTCGCTAGCGATAACTACGCAGCAATGAAAGAGTGGTTCAAAGTAAAGCAATATTCTTATTCGCTCCTCCTCCGTTCGTACGGGTTTCCTCATTGACATTTTCTTCAGAAATTTCCTGAACGCTCGAAAAACGACTTTTATGCTGCAGGAGAATCATATGCTGGGACGTACATACCGATGCTTTCAGCTCTTTTAGTTGACGATAAGGATATCAATTTCAAAGTGAGTACTTGGAAATGCTAGGTGCCGGCTCGCTGGACGTACTTACTTACAGTCCGCCAGTCAGGAATGCTCCAGGACTGGCTGGCTCAGTCCCGTTACTTACAGGGCTCAACCGTTTAGGATATTTTCATACAAATTATTTTTTAATTCGCCTCTACCTTATTTCGTTGCCAATTTTTTCTTCCCGAGGTTTCAACAACTTTTTTTCCAAAAATTACAAAGCTCCGGGTTCGAAAGGCTCATTATCAGCTCTCTATATATGACTCGGGAACAATTTGTTTTCCATGAAAAATCACATTTATCGCTAAACGTGCTTGAACAAAAGACTTTCAGGGTATGCTAATAGGAAACGGTTGCGTTGACGATGTTTTGAATTTCAACTCTCTTGTGGATTTCAACTACAATCACGGGTTCATTGACGAGAGGTAAATCGCAATCTACAAATGCTTATACTCAGATCTTTTCTTCTATTCCTAGAGTGCCGGCGAAAATGCTGAAAAAAATTAAAATTAAAGTGCTGTATGTGATGGGAGGTGAAGGGAAGAAATCAGTTGAAGAGTCAGTCAGTGACATTAGACTTCTTGTTAGGGGCACTCTGCAGTACTCGTGTCATCATTTTTTATATGCATCGAGCTAAAAATTGAGAATACATTTATCGCTCATTAGCGAAACTCGACGAGTCTCAACTCTTTTCTCATTGGTGGATCGCAGAACTGCGAATAAGCAGGGCGACAGCCCATCCAATGAGGAGCCCGGTAAGCTCACCAAGGCTCCGCCCCTCGGGGTCGGGCACATGTTCTCCCTTTCTGTTGTCTCATTTTTTGATCATGAATCAATATTTATATAGGAACCTAAAACGAATTATTTTGTAGGTACTATCGCCAATCTGTAATGAAATGCTGCAATAATGTTCCTGATCACTGTGATTTTTACAAAATGTCTTTGAATGAAACTGGCTTTTGTTATGATGAGGTAAGTTGTTGTACAAAGTTGTACAAAGGGCCGGTTTTGTTAGCATAGTTATGTAAATTTGATTGCTAAGCATGTACAATAGATGGGTAGGTGAATAAGCAGATATGGGTATGGGTGTCGGTATGGTTATGTTTACGGGTATGGGGGTGGGCTTAGGTGCGTGGACGTATACATAATGGTATGGATACGAGTACAGGGGGTGGCGGTACTTATCCCCAAATCCTCACGGCAAGCGACACTGGTCCGGCTACCGTATCATTCCACTGGGTATTCAAATCATTCCCATCACAGCGCGCGATTACGCGCCGTTGGGTGTGGTGAGCGAGGCGCGATTTTCGGGGAGAAGTACCCACACCCGATCATAGGTAATTAGGTATCCGTTTCTGTCTATTACACAATCCACACCTTCCTCATCTTAGAACGCAGGGAGTTTAAGCCAAGCGGAAACCAATCGATGCCTATGAACGTCGGTACTATTCGATACCGATAAACGTCGGTTTAAGCAATACCGATCGGACTGGTCACCACTCCTTTCTCAGCCGTTGTATTGTAGAAAATTGAGATGCTCCCTGGTGACGAAGTTAGTATGGGTTTGAAGGAAGGCAGTGCTTTGCTGGAAAGTGTAAATGGAAAAAAATGAACTAAAAAACGGTTTCGTGATTGGTTGTATCTAAGCTTGTCATGGTAAGGCGAAATAGATCGTAAGAGTAAACGATACTTTGAAATATTCTGGAGTAATGTAACGATATTGAAATACGGATAAACGAATGCAAAAGTATAACAATTCAGGCTACTTATCTCAACACAGCAAACTTTTACACGGGGCTTGATCCGTACTTTATATACTATTCCTGTTATCTGAATGCTGGTGATGCACCTGTTCCGACTGGCCTAGCTACGGTCACACTTCGCTCACACATGCGGAGGAAATCAATTCGCGACCAAGTAATCGCTTGATCGTATATTTCTGATTTATTTTGTTTCACTTCAAACTTCAAAACTACTTAAGAGTTAAAGGAATTTTGAGAGTCGCTAAGCTCTACAGATTTGTTCTTTAATAAAACAGAGATGAACTACCGAAGTGCACTGAAGCGCCCGTAGGGTTTATAGTCTTGGAGTAGTGGAAGAGCCGCGCGCATCAATCAATATCTTTACAGTGTTCAAAAACACCAGTCGTTTCCTAGGGTACTGTATAGATACGGTACGTAGATAGTGTCTGTATTTCACATAAAGTTCTGATATTAACTTTCATCTCCTTTCAATAACATATCTTTTTATCTGCCTAAAAAATCTAGTTACAACCTGCTTGCGCTCACCACAATGACTCAGTCGTTTATCTTCAACGGGCTGATGTTCGTGCAGCATTGCGAATCATGGACGTTGTTCCGCAATATGAGACTTGCAAGTATGTTACTAGTTGCTGATTTTTATCAAATGATTCCGTTGGCTGTACCTTACTATGTAAGACAACTTTGATCTCAAGCTCAGTCCGGAAACCTAAACCGCGTGGAATACGGAGCATATCTAACTGTATACCCTGGTGCAGTGTATCAAGGAAACCTCATAATTCAGGCTCCTCTACTTCTATAAGACTTCCATTTTTGAGGATCGGCTAAGACTGGAACGTAAGGTGCATGCTTTTCTATGAAATTCCGGGCTGTATATTTCTGTTGGAAAATGAAGGGTCATGGAATTGAGTGGTGCTACTATCAGCCAGCTATGATATCCACTTCGTTCCGAGCTTGAAGTGCTTAGCGGTTTAGAAGGATGACAAGCAATTTTGAATATCGAGTAGCGTAACCTATTGTTGGAGCAAGTTTTGTGTTCAATGCTACAGCATTTTGCATTGAAGCCGTAGGCATGGCGTACCTCTGCAAAGAATACTTCAGTTCCGCCCTTCCGTACCTCCTCTGGAACCTCCTTCCCTCGCTTCTCCCCCACTATGGAAAGATGTCTCTAAAGCGACCCGAAGAGAAGAACCCTGTATAAGCGACGATTGAGCCTGAAATCCTGAAATTTAAGGCACGGTTTACGATAAAAAGGTTACTGAGTTCTTCCCTTAGGAATACTCAGTGGCCCCCATGGGTGGTAGGAGGGACCCTCTCGCTTCCAAAGTCTCGACGATCAGGGCATAGTGGAAGCCCTGTTGCTGTCTTGATTCGCTTTCTCGCCTCTCGATCGATGTCACGATATTCGAGTGTCGAGACAATACAGATTGCAATTATTCGTTCTAGGACCCACACACAATCAGCCGATTGCATTTTTCTTCCACTTTTCGTCATAATCTGGGTTACCCAGAAACATCGTGAACTGTGTCTTTAAATATTACATGGCTTATAATTTAACAAGCTGACATGAGCCTTGAACTCCATTCATCGGTACAGTATGACTGCAGTGTCGTGAACGATCAGTTCAAAATGGGGACATGAGGTTCCAAACCATAAAAAANAAAAAACCCAAGGAGCTGTCCTTCCTGAAACACTACTAACTAGTATTATCCTATGTACTTTACTAATTTCATTGTTTTAGCATGGATATCTCTGATAACTATGATTTTGGTGCTTCACATGTAGTCTCTCAGGCTGAAAACTTCAAAAAGGTCATAAAGGCTGAGAAATCTGTGAGCTTGCATACTATTGGTTTTGTTCCTGCAATCATGAGTTACTATTAACATTACCAGTATTGTTTCAAGGTTGCATTATTCTATGGAGACACTGACACACTTTGTAATGCTGTTCATGGAGCCCAGTTCGCCGCCAATTTAGGTCTGCCTGAGATCGCTCCTCTCCGGCCATACCTTGACAATGAGCAATTACCTCCTACGATCGGATTCCTCACCCAGTACAAAGGTAATGGCAAAGTGATTCCATTTGAAATTGGAGTTCTCAGGAAAGAGGTTTTTCCAGGATTGGATCTGCTGACAGTACGTGGAGCTGGCCACTTTGTGGCGTCCACCAACGAGAAGCCGAAGGAAGCATTACAAGTATTTGTAAACTTCATAAACAAGACGTCTTATGACACTCCTGTGAGCCACGACCTCCCTTACATTCCGCCGAGCCCAGTGTATACCCCTACTACTACATCTGAAGACATACCTGTCAACTGGGATTCCGCTCCGTGGCTGATCACCGATTTACCGAATCTTGACGAACCGCTGAGTTCCAAACAGTATTCCGGATATCTGAGTGTCAGTGAAACGAGGAAACTGTTTTATTGGTAAGTTAGTATAGTATTTTAATATAAAAAAACTTCATCAATCAATAATGGGGTGCAGTATACAGCAGAATACGAAGCATGTGAAGGGTCTGAGTTCGATACCAGCAACCCTCGTATGCCTCATCTAACGAAGGTTTAGTGCAAATGGATGGCCAAAGAATTAATGGGGACCAGGCTCATTAAGGGTTGATCAGCTGTGTTCGGAGAACGCTCAATATTTTTCGTTCTTTTTGATAATACCAGACGATGAGTAAGAGGACCATGAGGTTCAGCCGACCTGTCTATAAAAGGATATGACTTTTAAAAAAATCAGTTCGAATTTGTACATACCTTCCTAGCTGATGAACTTGACTGCAGTTATCGAATTGCTCCCTGATTTCGTCTGAAGACGACATCTAATTGTAAGGTGTGGTTCTCTTCAGAGGGCGTGGTCTGGAGGTTGGGCGGAGTTTTGCCACTCTTCTTCGACTGTCATGTAATAACTTCGAGGGCATTCTAGGCTATTTCGCTCCAGCATTTGCCAAAAGAAATCTTACTAGTTTAATTCGAAGTAACTGATCGACTTATCACTCAAAGTCATATACAAGTATTTCAACAGTAACCATTACAAGGATTTTTTAAGGTACATTGAATCTGAGAACGATCCAAGTAAAGATCCTGTGGTCCTATGGCTCAATGGAGGTCCCGGATGTTCATCTCTCGAAGGACTATTCCTTGAGATGGGACCATTCAGGTAAAACTGGTTTCTGTTCTCTCAGCGAGTACTATTCTACTGTATGATTTCAGGGTGAGAAACTACGGTGCTTATGTGACCCGTAACAAATGGACCTGGAACCGGGTGTGGGCTCAAATCTGATGAATATTTAAAATTTTCGAAAATCCCCGATATTCAGGTGGCTAGCATAATCTACTTGGATGCACCGGCTGGCGTCGGTTTCTCCATTGACTTGAATGGTACAGAGCATGTTTTCACTGATGATGAAGTGGCCCATGATAACCTTATAGCCGTGACCGAATGGTTCAAAGTTAGCTGAGCTTTTTGTTTCATTTAATACAAAAAAAAGGATTTTAGTACTTTTTAGAAGTTTCCTGAGCGCCGGAATAACGATTTCTACGTTGCTGGCGAGTCTTATGGCGGGACATATGTGCCCATGCTCTCCGCCCTTCTGCTCGAGGACTTTCCTCAGTTCAAGGTACCGACACCGTCACCATTTTTGACTCCCAAAAATACCTTCTCCTCAAGGGTATGCTGATCGGTAATGGTTGCATGGATGATCGCTTACTTTACAACTCATTGGTTGGTTACAACTACGATCATACCTTTATTGATGAAAGGTAAGAAAGTTTTTGTAAAATGTTGAACTCAACCGTGGATCCTGAGATCTCAAGTTTCACTGATGGGTTCAAAATCATTAATTCAAAGTCAACTGGATGTATAGAAAATCTTCCCGCTCAGGAGAATGACTTGAAGGACCTCCATAACTGAAAACGTCAGCACTGTTGCATATCCGAGTCCCAGTAGATCCACTAGGCTCATTACATTTGTGAAGGACCGTCAATCTCAAGTGGCCCCGTGCATTATCGACCCTGAATGTACCAGCTAAGCCCTAGCGCAGCCATTTCAGGCAGTGCTGCATCCACTGAATCCCACTGTACCCATCTCGCGACGGTTAGGAGGCTCTAAGCCTCCTAGAGTGCTTCCAGCTGATCCAGGTGTACCCAGCGGGCCCAGATTAGACAGGAGGGTCAATGTATAAGCACCCGTCAAGCACCAGGTAATTACCAAGCAATACTGTACTGTATCTACCGAGCCCCAATGTACCCACTGGGCCCAGTGTAGTACTCGCGCCGGGTCCCAGTGAACATATTACCATGCCTGAGTGTACCCATCGAACCCCAGTGGATGAGCTAGCCGACGTACATCCGAAAAGCCCAACTGCACTCAGCGAATCGCCACCCACTCAGCTTTCTCAGGACACCCGACAAGCCCCAGCACACCCACTGGGCTCCTCTTATGGTATTGTGGTACCAAAAGATGCAACAAGAGATACACTGAGCCCTCAATGAAGCACAGTCATCCCCACAGTCTCATGGCACGAACTTACAGTTCAAAGCTCCATAGGGACCGTACCGCTCACGCTCCAGTCAGCTCCACGCTTCAGGGGCGGTTCGCATTACTGTATCGCAGAATCCCCGGTCACAAAGTCTGTTCTGTCGCGTCGCGGCGAGAGGAACGCCGCGAGTGAAGAAATGTAGCAGGATGCAGCGGCAAGTGAGAAATACAGGAACAACAGAACTAATAGTAGAATCATGCCTGAAATAATGATCGCATATCAATTGAGCTGTATGAAGAGCTGTAATAACGGCGAACGAATGGTCCGCGACAGCCGCGTGCGGCGAATCGATTACACAAAACCGTTCCTACTGCCCGTCTCCCATGCAGGAGCCTTGTCGTTCTATTTTCCTAACCCGATTTATGAAGAGGAACATATTACTCTTAATAACGCATGCCACGTTATTTATGGTGCCCTTACAGTTGTAAATGGGAAGTCAATTCGTCAATGAATGATTAATGTTAAGCCATCACCCTCCGTCTGCCCTAGTCCTCAAGAGATGGTAATGAGCAGATGTTCAAAGCG